GGCCGCCATGGCGGCTGAGGGCACGGGAAGGGCAGCGCGGGCAGGGGAAGCGCGCCTCACCTCTCACGGAGCTCAGATCCGTGTGAACGCCCTCCTGCCGCGGGCAGGGACACCTCCCACCGCAGAACGTGCTGAGCTGGACATGAACCGCGAGCATCAGGGACACCGACACCTGGGTATCCCCAAGGATCACGCCTGGGAGTGCTGTCCTAACCCTGCGCCAAGGTTCGGGGTCTTATCTGAACTGGCTTTGAGCCCTGCCAGGGTTGGGCCAGTGTCTCACCCCTCTTCCAGTAAATATTTCTTCCCAATAGCTAGCCTCAATTTCCCCTTTTTCCCGTTTGTACCCCTTTTTTCTTGTCCTGTCTCTCCATTTCCTGACAAGGAGCCCCTCTTGAAGGTTGCTATGGGGAACGCGCACCACCTTCTCCAGACTACAGGGCCCCTACTCCTGAAAATTATATATTCATGAGTAATTAATCATTAACAAGCACTGTTAGCAGTGTTCTCCTCCCCAGCCAGGTTCTGACCTGAGTCTCCTCACCCCTTCTGTGGCAAGGAGAGGTCAAAACACCCCTTAGACTGTACACACTCTGCACTGTGTTGTCTTCCTCTCCACCTTTGTCCTACCCCTGGTTCTGTTCCTTTTGCCCACTCTCAAAAGAGTATGTTCCCTGGTTTATTGGATGAATAAAAAAACATGACATTGTGGAGAAAATATAATTTAAAAATTCTGGGAATAAAAATGGTCTGGCTCCCCTCAGCCAAGATCTCCCGTGCCCAACCCTCTGCCACAGTGGTGGCATCAGGCCTGTTAGTGCCCCAGGCATGGATTAAACTGTCAGGTCAGCAAAATACTCTGGAATTGATGGTTGTAGTAAGGACTGAGCACTATTTCTCAGTGGGATTAATAATTAATAACCCTACACAGCACTAAAGCCTGCAGCAAATGATTGTAGCAGAGGGGAAGGGCACTCGCCCACACCACGAGAAGGAGTGAGATGGAGTTTCAAACCTTTTCCTGAGCAATTCCTCACTGGGATCCACTTTGCTACCACCAGATGTTAACAGGACATATTTCAGGAGATCAGAGAGCTGGAAAAAGGAACTTGCTTTTATTCAGAGCTGCACCTAATGGCAGATATATGGCCTTGGGTATGCAGAAGGTTTGTGGACACCTCGAATACCGCAGCAGTTACAAGGCAGTAGTTTCTAAGAAACACCTGAGGTGTTTTCTTGGTTTTCAAAGGAGGAACCATAATAAAAGCAAATAATAATTCTTACATCTGAGTTGTAGATCTTCTTTAAATGCTCTGGAGGGGCACTGTACAGGAATCCTGACTGAATCAGTGTCACTGCTTCACCCAGCCCACTCTTGCAGGACCGACCCTCCTTCATCTCCTGCTACTGCTGTCCACAGCTCCTGACAATGTACACAGGAATTCCCACATGGACTCTTCCAAATAAACCTTTGTGGGCCTTATTCACACCTGCCTTTGGAGCCTTCAGCAAGGAAATTCTGCTGAATGCTCTCCTCAAATGTCAAATATTCGTATTATAATACCTATGTATTCTCAAAGAAATCCAGCACACATTTGGAAACCGCCCTCTGATAATGCCTGGGGTGTTCTTTTTATAGCTTACTTAAATTACACAAGTAGAAAAGTTATGCTTATTAATAGTTTAATGTATGAAGGAAACATCCAGATTTCTGAATATGAAGGTACATATCTCACATTAATTTAAGTCTACATAAAGTAGAGCCTCTATAACTGACATATTGAAATTTACTTTCTGCTTAGCCATTTGTTATGTAAACAATTGTACATTTATTTGCCATTCTAAAACTTCAGGATCAAGTTTACATAATTTTGCTAAATTTCTGTGTTTGCTCAGAAGCAGTTTACAGTACTAAAACCAACCAGCCAAAGAACAGCTTCAACAGAAAGTTATGTCAAAAAAAAAAAAAAAAAAAAAAAAAAAAAAAAGGAAAAAAAAAAGAAAAAAACAAAAAGAAGAGGAGGAAAGGAAAGAAGAAAGTCTAACTAAGTTGAAACATATGATGGTGGGGAATGGGTGGTCACAATGTTCACAGAAAAAGGTCAGTTAGTAAGTTCTTCTGCAAAAAGCCTACACACTTCAGTCAAGCACATCAGTAGAATGATCTGGGAGCACATAAACTGTTTCTGCCAATTGTGGTTTCCTCTGCAAAAAAGGAATCTCAAGGCCAGCACGTTGATCCCACTCAGCCCAGTTGGTTCATATGCACACTGTTCATGTGAGGTGTCCAAGTTCCAGTCCACACCTGCAAGAGAAAGCGGCGTTAACACCGTGCTTTGGGCTGCTCCAAGCGGGGCACAGCTCACAGGGACAGCGCAGGGCTCTGGGGTTTCCTGTCCAGGACAATTACCCGGGCTCTGGGTGGGCAGCACATGATTGGCAAGCCCAGTTCCCGAATCCCTCCGTTCCCAGAGCGAGGCACTTGCTCTCCTCTTGACCTTAAGTTCACACAAACAAGAACCTGACTGCTGCCACTTCATTTTCCCCTGACACCTTCAGCTCCGGGGAATCCCAAGTGTAACCAAGTGAAGTTCTCTTTGGGGGACAAAGTTTCCTCGTTAAATCAGAAATCCACTCGTCAGAGCAAAACCCAAACTGAGGCCAAACCCCCTCTCCCTCACACCTATGGTCTCCCAGAGCTGGGAGCTGCTCTCCACAGCTCCGATCATTCCCAAACAAATTAAGCCCAGAAACATCTTGATTTAGTAACAGTTGTAACAGGGCCCACTCTCTAATTAAGCATAATGACAGGATATAATCTAACCAGAGCTACTGATGCTCCATTACAGCATTAGTTCCTGAGTACGAACAAGAGGTCATGGGGAATTAATCCCTCTGCCTAAATAATATTTAGTGAACAAGCCAGGCAAGACCAGAGCAGCAAAGAGCTACTTCCTCCCTCCCTCAAGAGCTGCTTTAGTGTGCTCCTAACACAGTTACAACATCCTGAACTACAGAGCCCAGTGTCGCTGTGTTCCCAGCTTGGCAAGGGAAAGCTTTCCTAACAGGACATCAGTTGGCTTTTCCTATGAAATTTTCCCCCAGGATTTCTTTTCCCAACTGCAGGGACAGGAATCGCGATGCATTTTAGATAAAACACCCAGTGCAAAGAGCAGCAACAATTACCGTCTGAGGCCCGTTGTTTTCTGTGGAATTTGAAACCATCTTGATCAGCGAGTTCCAAGAGGGGTCAGCAGCATGAGGCCCGTTAAAGATGGGGCCTCCAGTACCATCTGTGATGGGGGCTACAGGAGGAATTATGGCGTTCCCATACACAGAGAAAGGCATTCCCTGCCGAGAAGGAAAAGCGACAGTCAGGGCGCTGCCACCAACGCTGCTAGCGCTGCCCAGACAGAAGGACAGCAGGGGATTCGTGCTGCACTTCGGGGCCGAGGAGGTCATTACCCCAACTTTCGGGAAGTCCATGTATCCTGCAGGGACGGGCTGATGGAATGTACCGGAAGGCGCTACGATTCCCGTGCTGTCTCTCTCCATGGCTTGGTGCGAGAACACGCCTGGGTCAGACATGGGCCTGTGGATCATGTGGCTCCCCATGCCGCTGTGACACCAGTCCACTTTATCTGAGGGCACAGAGACACAGAGTTACCCACGGCCCCCTCACCGCCCGCTTTCCAACCTCCGGGCATGCCAGCCTCCAGGCCTCCACCGGCTCTCGACAACACCGGCATGGACAACACCAGCAACGGTACCTGCAGCCCCCAGGCCGGGAACCCTGAGCCACTGCCACGAGTCTGGGACAGTTACCTGCAACCAGAGCGCTGCCCCTGCAACTTTCCTCCATTTCAACAGCAAAGCTGGAATCTGGGCTAACTCTCCCTCCTCCAAAAACCTCAATTCCTCGTGCCTTTGGCCCTGTGGAAAGGGTATGTACACTATCAAGACTATTTGCTCTGCTTGGCTGCTGTTCTTCCATTAATTATTTAATGTTCTAAGGGACACAGAAGTACCTGTGCAAACCAAAACCAGAAAATGACCAGCTGCAGACATGTGCTCACATCCTAATCCTGTGAATTCATCGGAGGCAGCTTGGTATTGGTGCACCAGTTCAAGCCCCAGACATCCAAAAACCCAATTTTCAAAACAAAACCTAAGAAATTGGATTTGGAGAAGAGGTAGAGGAACATTCCTGAGGTACCCTAATACTCAAGTAGAGAAGAGCCAATCCCACTGCGAACTGAAAATCGAAATGTTGAAGTAATTGACCAAAGCAGAAAGAAAACAGCATCCCAAAAGCTGAGACAGGCACAAACGATGACTTTTACAGCCACACACTGCAAATAAATAGTCAATTTGTAAAGCTTTATCTGGGAAAAGGCTGCTGGTGAAATAAAAGAAGGGTTTGTATTTGGGGAAAAATTGCAGTACAGTCAGTCAATTAAAACCTTCAGCTGTCTGGACTCAGTCAAGGATCAAAACAGATTTCTTTGAGAGGTGGAGCAGTTCCAATCCTTGCAGGCTTTCCAGAGCAGATTGGATAAAGCCCTGAGCAACACAGGCAGAACTCATGGCAAACCTCATGTTGTGCAGGAGGCTGACAGGGCATCCAGAGGTCCAACCCTACACTCTTTCAATATTCATACTCACCCATCCGAAGCAAAACCACCTAGAGAAATTAAAAAAAATCAACTCCCCACAAAAAAACCTCAATCAGAACGAAAAAAGTTCATCAGTCTCCCAGAAATTGCATCCAAGACTCCTGACAAGTTTGGTAAGAAAAGCTGTAGCATCACTAGCTGAAATTGTTAATAAATTCTGAATTCTATGTGACTCCGGGGGAGCTGAGAGCCTTGTGGCAGTGGCAGAGAAATGGCTGAGAAGAACAAAGGAAACCCAAATGTGGACTATTACCACTTTTATAAAGCACCATCCTCGGCACATAAAGTTCTACATTAGCTACAAATTAAATATTAACTCCTACAGTACAAACAGCCTCTTTATCAACAAAAAACACCAGAAAGCTGTCTTGTGACACCCTAATTTCCCCTCTTCCTAAATTCAGTGATCCTCCCTGTGTTCATTCCTGAAAACCCTGTTTTTATTTTCCCTGCTCTTACTTGGGAGTACCAAATCTTCACAGCCAGAATGTTTCAGAACCCCGAGGGTTTGAGAAACCTCGTTAAAACAACAAAGTGGACAGGAGGGCTAAGAGAGGTCCTTGCTACAAATCCTTTGGAAAGAAGATTTCTTGTGTTTTTGGGCACTCACTTCTGCATCCTCCCGTGCTGAAGACAAGCCTGGCAAACACAATGGTGTGATCAATGCAAGTGCATTTACAAACAACACCTACCTTGACTGCCACCTATACCTTCGAAGGACCAGATCCCACTGTGTCCCACCGGGGCAGCCAAGTTGCTCCCAATTACAGAAGGAGTAGACGTTCCAGTTTGTCTAATACGTGCAGACCGTTCAGTCCCAATAGGAACAGGAACTTTTCTGTCCTGAGAAACGTTACTGGGTTTTTCTGATCCCAAGGACACTGCTGAAGGGGTGGGAGAGGGTGCTCGTACTCCAGAGGACACGGACTGAGCGGGAGATTCTGCAAGGAGAGCAACAGGAGCACTTAGTGATGGCAGCCAGACCCCACAAACCTGTCCTTCAAAGCAACAACAACAACAACAGGGAGCCGGTTAATGCCAGATTCATCCACCTCAGGATCATTTTATTTCCAGATCCAGAGACACTCTCCCCTGATTCAGTCCCCTATATAAAATGCTTATCACGCCCTGGCAGCTCAGCCACTGGAGGACACACACAGACCACAACATCTTAACTAAGCATCACTGTCCATCAGCAGCAGAGGATTTGAGAATTGTATCCTAAACCAGAGCTGAAATAAGACCACGTAAACCCATGTTTTTGTTGGGTTTGTTTTTCCTTCTTCTTTTTGATTTGTTCCCTGAGGGCTTTTTTTTTGTCATTACTGTTGCCAATAAAACAGACTATCACGTTCCCTAAATAAGCCAGCACTTAACAGCTTATTTGTTTTCTGTCCCAAAAAGCCAGCACTTAACAGCTTATTTGTTTTCTGTCCCAAAAACTCCTCACTGCAGGGGGACAAAGGTCAAGGAAGGTACCAGAACTTGCCCTGAGTATTTCCCCTGGAATTCCTTACACAGTTCTGCGGGACACCTTTATTTATGCTGCAGCTTCTCCGCAGCTTCCTGCTGAGCACAACTCACCGTTTGATGCTGATGAACATGGAGGCAATAAACTAAGAGGGGAAAAATGCTGTCTGTTAAAATTAGCAGCCGCAGGCGCTCCTCCCAGCGGTGTCCCAGGCGCGTAGATCTGCCCTCCCGACAGGTTCGAGGCAAAGGTCCCCAGGTGTGTAGAAGAAGGTGTTACAGAAGCATAGGGAGAATCCATACTGACAATACCTACAGGGGAAAACGGGCACCAGTGACTCCCACAGCTCCAACACCCTATCAGGAGGTCACCCCAACACAGGAATATAAAGGAGAAAAGGAAAATGTTTCTCCCCTCCATCTTTGGGGGCACATGCTACAATTTTCCAAAGGGAACTGGAGTATGAAGCTTCCCACTCAGCAAGTCCATTCAGTATGTGGCAGTTGTGCTGCATACCTACATCAAGAATGATTCCTATTTCACTAACATCAAATGGCACCAATTAGCCCAGATATTCAAAATGCAAGAATTACTGCTCCCTTCACATCCTCTTCAACGAAGAAAGGGAAACATAACATCTTAGGGATCTAAGACTTACGCGTTTGTGTATCTTAGGGGCATACAGGGCCACAGTCAAAATGCTGACTGGTATATCGAGATGAAAAAGCTCAACACCATCTTATTCACAAAACAGGAAAAAAAGCTCAGCTGTATCTCTCAATCCACTAACACCTCTGAGGTGACCTGACCCTTGGAAGATGCTGCGTATTTAAATGCAGCCCCAGGCCAAGGTATCGCGACCTGGCACAGTCACTGTCTGGAAGGGAAGGGAGGTGGAAATTACAGTGGTTTTTTTTCCTTTATCTCAGCTACTGGGTGGGGAGCAGACTGGAAT